TGTAATGTGTGTGTAGATAGAGAGTGAGTAATTGAACTGCAGTTAGAGAGCACGAGAGACGTTACAGCGTTTGTTTAGCGCGATTGTTGAAGTTGAGTGTATTGGTAAAGTTATATTCGGAAATAATAAACCAGTTTTATTAAGAAAGAACTTGTGTCGCTTAAGTTTCGTCGGAACGAAGTTACGGAAAGTTAATTAACAAACGGAGACGTAACAGTATGAAGGTTAAAATTTTTGCTTTACTTTTTCTCCTTACTCTCAAACTAATAACTTTAAACTAAACTTTAGTTGTTCATAGTTATTGTGATACTGCAATGTTCATGTAATAAATTCACATCACATATTCTTATGAACTTCATAAATAATTCCCGATAATCGACCCTGTAATATGCAAAACTTGTAAAATGTATCTATAAACATCTCGGTACTTTTGATTTCCGTGTAAATCTTTTCCCATTGTTTAGTTATGCTATTAGTAGTTCTTTTTTTGTTTTTTTTATTCGTATGATAAAGTTGTTTTGCCCGACTTTCAACAGCGATGCAACGTCTCAATTGATCCTGCCTTTTTTTTTCTCAGAATGTTTAAGTGGAAGGAAGAAACAACAACGAAAGCATCTGCTTGTAGCAATTATCCTATATTGACAGCTGTAAACAAAAACCGGTTTAACCAGTGTATTCTAATGAAGAGAAATATAAACTGCGTAAAGAAGCCCACGTGACCTTCCTTGTCCCATTAACAAAACTTAAAGTTGCATTAAAAAACCATTCGTAAATGTAATTGGTTTTGAAGGTTGTTTGACTGATACTTTAATGTTACTAATATTTTGTAGGAGTATTTTAAACTTGTAGTTTTCGATGGACTTATTTGAGAACACGTAACTTTCGTCCTGTGATTTGGCTCGTATCGTAGTTCATCCACGTATCTTATATTTACAGATACACATATGGAGATTGTACCCCTCTCCGATGGGACAGCGGTATGTTTATGAACTTACAACACTAAAATCCGAGGTTCGATTCTCCCTCGGTGGACACAGTAGATTGCCCATTGTGGCTTTGCTCCAAAGTAAACTAAATTAAGATAACGAAGAATTTTTTTGTGTGTACGTTTCTCTTTAGTACACAGATTAACTGTTTATTTAAGACATCAGTTATGGAGGTTTCCATGAGTTGATACTAGTTGATTTGGGACAGTTTACTTACCTATTCGGAGAGTATTTTGTAGCTCAGTAAATAGGAAAATGTAGATTAGAAGCACAGTAATTGAAGTAAATATTATTTTTGATTGAACTGTACTACTATTTCTTATAATACCAAGAATAAACAAAGTTTTATTACATGTTTTATGGTCACGAAAAAAAAGAAGAAGATATACAATCATAAATTGAACACGAAAAATTCGTTATCGTAAAATATTCAATTATTATGATGCTAAATATTTTCTTAATATGTATAACGTGTGTGCAAGTAAAATAACTTGTTTTATGAATCAAGAACCGTCACATTTTTAGCACATTTTAGTGGGTCCCCTAAATGTTCTCTCCTTTAAAATGTACAGAATGTAGACAATACCGTTTTATGTGAATAGTTTTAAAAATGATTTGTACAGTAATTTTGATTTAAAACCGATATTAAACACATTATTTTAATTTAAATGCTAAAATACTTATAAAATTTGTTTTGTATAAATGAGTTTGAGATACTTATTTCATTATCCAATATTTTGAAACTTGAAAATATATGTTGCGACTAGTAAAGGTATCTCATCTGTTTTTGACAGTGGTTTGGAAGCAATGAAGTAGAAAATGGCTACAGACACTGGAGATATTATAAAACAAGGCTATGTTAGAATACGTAGTTGTAAACTTGGGGTAAGTAAACTTGTTTGTTTGGACGTTAAATAAAATGTAATACTAACGTATGAAAGTAATAAAGAACGTATGATAATATGTCAACCACATTATATCCGCTATCTCTAGTACTGACGAGGTCTTTCGCCCAATACCAAAACTCAACAGGTCGGCTGGAATAAGACAGGTATCGTAGTGGCCAAGTCTAATGTTCTGTTAATGATAATTGTTGTAACACAATATAACAATTTCGATATTGCTGTAGTAAAAAAAAAAAACTCATTATAACTATTCATTCAATTTAATAATTATAACCATAGTATGTCCTTGACTATGTATTTTCACATACAAGACGTATTGACAGCTTTTTAACTTGAAGAGATGATGTTTGAAAACTTTTCGCCTGCTTTGTAAATTGTTTTTGATGAAACCTTTTATTTTTATTGTAAAACATCATGGGACAGAACGAATGATGGCGGGACAAGCAAAGTTCCAACGTCATGTATAAGAAGTTTTGAAAATATACCTTGTAGAATGTATTAATTAGTTTGAATATACCAAAAATTACATGTGGTGACCAATTACACCCTGAGGCTTAAGAAGGCTTTGAAGAATTACCAGATCAGGTGTTCTGTATCATCAAGACCAACATGATGAATATTAAAAACATTTGTTTTTGCATACAGATCTGGCAGAGAAGATGGATTATGTTGAGGAAAACTACACATAAAGGCCCGTGTCGGCTGGAAAAGTACTTCGATGAAAAGACAGCACGTTGTCGAGGTGCACCCAAAGTTGCCTTGCTAAACACTGTTACGAATGTGTCCAGGCTTACACCAAGCATCAAGAAACATGCATTTTCAATCTGCTTTAAAGACTCCATAAAATGTTTGGCGTGTGACTGTGGTAAGTGACATAAATTGATATTTATAAGCATAAAATTCATTAAAAAAAAGCGAAACGAAACATTTTCGTTTAAATTTTTTTCACCTTAAAACGACTATTCTCTCTTACCGTTGGGATCTGCCTAACTATTATTAAATATAGCTGTACTTATAGTTTGCATTTTGTTTGTTTGAAATTAAGCACAAAGCTACTCAATGGGCTATTTGTGCTCTGCCCACCACGAGTATGGAAACCCGGTTTCTAGCGTTGTAAGTCCGCAGACATACAGCTGTGCCACTGGGGGGGGGGGGGGGGCTATAGTTTGTAACACACCAAAATTGCAATGGAATGGGGAAATAAAAGGTAACACAAATTTAAAATAAGAATCGGGTCCGTGGTTCACAAGTGAAATCTTAAAAAAAAAAAACAGCGGGTCAAGAAAATGTCAAAAATATTGAAAACGACACAGGATCTCTAAACTCTTTCGAAGAGTTGGCTCTTTTTCAGAAGTTAAAGAGAAATAACTCACTCTTTTTTCTTCTGAAGGATATTATTGTGACAACAATATATATATATTTAACTCACTCTTTTTTCTTCTGAAGGATATTATTGTGACAACAATATATATATTTAACTCACTCTTTTTTCTTCTGAAGGATATTATTGTGACAACAATATATATATTTAACTCACTCTTTTTTCTTCTGAAGGATATTATTGTGACAACAATATATATATTTTCTGCAAATATGTTATCGAGAATGATGTGATTTACATTATTGTTAATGTAAAATCACACACACACACATTATCACTACTGAGCTATCATGTTCCTATTAGCAAAATTGTGTTAAGAAATATACAATATTATAATACTAATAATTAGCTGGCGTACCCGTTCAAGGCATGGGGACCACGGGAAGCGACATGTTACTCCTGGGGACGAGGGGGGTGTCTTAATGGTTTATGCCAGGTTAATGACAACTAGTACAACGGTTCACTAATTGTAAGCGTACACGTGGCAGACTTTTGTCAAATAGTAAATACAAAGTTTTAGTTTTCTCATTTAGATTACAAAATTGGAAGGATATGTCAATAGTTGTAATATAAAAGTTTCTAAATTAATATAAAAAAACACACACAAAAAACCTAAACGTTTACAGAGGTAATAAAGTTGGTTGGGTTTTAACAGAAATTAAACGTATTTTGAAAACAAAATTATTTATAAGTTCATGAAAACGGTCAACCAGTGGTTGCGTTAATCTGAGATTATTGTTGTTTTCAGCAAAAAAAGAATAGCTTTTTTACGATTTGTTTCCCCCAGGGGCTAACCGGGATGGGAAGAAAGGTGCTCATTAGCATCGGTCGCTATCATTGCCTTTTGTATTCATGTAGGTGTTCCCGACATTCGTCACGAAACGTTCTTTCTGTTTCGCTCATGTAACTTTTATTGTACAGTTTGTTTCACAAACAACTCCCTTCTGTGTGTAGGTATCGGGGGGAAGGGTAAGGTTTGGCAGAATGAACTGGCGTTTTTGTTTTTTCTTCACAAAGTCAAGGCTGACCAACTTCCAACCAGTGTGGGGTGAATTGCTATTTAACAGCCTAAAATCCTAGATCATATATTTGTGTTCGAATATCGGAACAAATCATTTCCTCCTCCTCTGTTCTTGGGGTGTCGCATCATATGACAGAACGGAAGATATGAAAGTCATATATGAATAATCCTTCGCCCTTTTAGAATATGAAATGACTGATGTTTTTAGTTATCTTATAAACTTAAATTTTAACTAATGAATCTTTCCAGTGCTCAGATGGCCGGACGAATCCTGGCCGCGGCTGGATGTAGGCCCTGTTCTAAGTGGAGGACACCAACATGGATTTCAAGGTTATCTCTTGTGGTAGTGTTATGCTTATGAGCAACCCGGACATGTTACTATTTGACGAATACCGTTTGTTATGGCTTTGCCTATGTAGGTGTAACCAGAGAAGTCCCCGTTTTTCTTCTTTTGAAATTTACAAAAGTTTTGTTGATGAATGAGGGTGGATATTCGTTATTTTGAAGTATAATTCTTTAGCATCAACATTCAATTATTTGTAGTTCACCAGGAGTGACTCCCTCCTTTAATTAAAACGAGTATTGAATTTTGTGCTACGTTTAGTATAGAGGCTGGATTATTTTGAAAGGGTGTTGTTCCTATTGCGAGAACGTTTAAGGCAGCACAAGTTTCCAAAGCAAATTTAATGCTCTCATGCTTTGATTTCAAACATCCTTAAAACTTTAGAAGGTTGTCAATGCTTAAGTTTTAATAAAACGGTACCATTTATCAGAAGCTTACTTTGTCTGCTTTCGCCATTTGTAGTTAACATTGACCTTCAGACTATGCATGAAAAATGATCTGTTGGTAAACACATTTTTTCAAACTAGTAATAGCTATTAGTCAAACATAAAAAAAATCTTAATTCCTCTCAAGAGACAGTAGAAAAAGACTCATCAAATTCCTGTTGTCAATGTTAAGTCTTATGTTCTTTCCTAGTGATGCAACACCAAAACTGAAAAGGAAAATATCTTTAGGAACGCTACAAAAATGAACGATAATCGTATTGATGGGATCGTGGGTATCAGTTAAGTTAATCTCTTCTGTAAGCTAAATGTATAAACTAAATGAGTGAATGTAAAGTTTTGTTTGTGGATATTGAGTAGTCCACAGTTTTATAGAATTCTAAAGTGTATCAGTTTCAAATTATGTAGTGAATCACATACCTTGAAGGGGTTGTTACGTCTCTGTTCGTTTGTTAATTTTCCGTAAAAATTCTTTCCGAAGAAACTTTAGCGATACAAGTCCTTTCTTAAATAAAACTGGTTTATTCTTTCTCAATACAACTTTGCAATACACTTAATTTCCACAGCACGCTATAACTTAAACAAACGCTATAATTCACAACGAACGACTCACGCACTTGACTCAATTGTCTGTCTCTATCTTTGTCTGCAATTCAATTACATTCGATGCCGTCACTTCTTGGCGGTCTTATATACAAGAATACCGTACATCTAGTGAACACTCGAGGCTTCACGAAGGGACATGATTTTTCTAGAAGCTCATGACGTGTTACTAGCGTCACGTGACTTCCGCTGTCGTAACAGGGTGATAATATTTCAAGATCAAACTTGAAGTTTTAGTAGCCATGATGTCAAATGATCTGTTACCAATTTGATAGATGTTTTCTTTCTTAAGACGTTATAAGAAAGTTTCAAAATGAATTAAGAAATGTGCAAAGTTTAATTTAAATCTACTGGCCGAAACGAGAGAAAACCTTTATCAAAACGGGAACAGGTCATTTGACGCCACAGCCACTGAACTTTCTGGTTTGGCCATAAATTCTCATCAGTTTCAAGTTGTATAACAATTCAAGTCGTGCAGTATCGTTATTTCGATCAATAATAAATACATATTTCACTTTATTTTTTGTCTTTTTTGTTGAGACAATGTTGTTTTTGTTTTCTTTTTGTGGTTGCTGCACAGTCACTAAGATATATTTTTTGTCTACTCATCACTAGTTTCGTTATTTATAACTTTTAGATGACACTGTTGTTTCCCCTGGTTGAATTCAGATTAGCTTTGAAGTTTTATAGGTTGACAATTTACTAGTGACTAGGACGTAAATTGGATAATTGCGGTGATTCTGGGTTTCACAGAGGAAAGTCAAACGTAAATGGCTTAAGTTGAGACAAAAAGGTGTCCAAGCTCTCAGAATAATATTCTCCTATGTTACCAGCTGAATCTATTCAACTCTGTCTCATTTAATCGGTTCCGCCAAGTTTGTTTGCAGTTATGCACAAAGCTACACAATTGGCTATCTGTGCTCTGCCCACTACGGGTATCGAAACCCTGTTTCCGGCGTTGTAAGTCCGCAGACATACGGGGGCGGTTCCGTCAAGACGATGAAAAGTCTTGTAATTTTTCAAATGTGATTAAGCAAACTTATTGGATCATATTTATATTACATGGCAGATATGTTTACATGTTTGTATACAAAAAAAATAAATATGTATTTATGTTTTCTTTTACATTAATTATAAATTACAATACAATAGCAGTTTGCTTTTCATCACTAAATTATCACATTTATAAACTTTTCATTGTTATTGGATGAGTTACCTGACGATGATTTTAGGGCTAAACTGTAGAAGTAATAAATTAAATATTTGTGAAACGTACAATCAGCAGTTCTAATAATAATCCTGTTCTTTAATTAATAACTTTCACTCGGCAACTACTGTTTTGATTATTACATGTTTAGAAGAATATATGAGCAAACCATTACTCTGTATAATTCTAGATGCATAACCTAATAAATAACAGTAAAAATGAATTTTTTCTTTAAAAAAAATATATTATCAAAAAATAATTCAAAAATCACATGTTTACTGCATTCATTTTGAGTGGGTGAAACACTTTTACAAAAAGTTTGTACCTGAATATGTGTGTGGTATCTTGGGTTTCCAAGCTATTTAGTATCATATCTAATTGTATTTTCTTTTTCATCTTTACCTTTTTCATATTAACCTTTAAATAATATTTTGTCAAAGCTACTTTTCTAAATCTTTTAATCGGTTACACAAATAGTTTCGGTATAATGCAACAATCTTTAGAAGGTAAGGTAACTTCCATACTGATTGAGGACATCATGCATTTCTTATCAGTTTGTTATATAGAATTGGCTTCACTAATTTATAGGTGTTTTTTTTTTTTAATTGATATAAACAGTAAAGTTTATTTTGATCAGAATTTATTAATTATATTTATTTTAACCGTCCTCACGTTTTGTCGTTAGATAAGCTTCTTCTGGTTTTTCTTCTTGTAGATCTGGAAGCAGACAGGTGGGTAAAAGTATTAGCTCAAGAATGTCTTGAACCAGAATCAAATCTTAATAATAAAGAGCCTGACATACTCAGTCCTGGAATACAGAGAGAACTGAAAGGTAAAATAGACGAGAAAACACTGAAGAACATAAGCTCATTAAAATTTTCTTATCCCTAACGTAATTTTTTGTTTATTATAGAACCATTGCACAAGGATAAGATAATTAAAATATTCTTTATAAACTTTGTATTTGGTAATCTATAATTATTATTTCCTAATCTTATTTTGTGCATTAAAATTTTGTATACTTATGCCATCTGTTAATATTTTCAGGTACTAACGCTCTTAATAACAGAAATATTTGTGTAATTACCCTAAAGTATTTTTGTGCTTCTCATTAACATCTGTATTAATTCCGACTTTTCCTATTTTAAGAAAATTATGATGAGGTATGTGATGCAAAAACATATTTTGTACATGCTTACATACAATCAAGATTTTTCTTGTAGAATCAGCATTGAATAAGATGATTAATGCTAAGTATGTTTGAAATTCACCGTTCCTTTATATCTATATATCTTTGTTTGTATACATTACTGTAACACCTGAATATTTTTCAGAGGAAGGAATAAATCTTTTTTTTTTCAAGTTTAGCACATTTCACTAAGTATATAGAATATTAATACAAACATTTTTGTTACACTAGTGTTTAAAGTATTTGATTTTTATATTAACTTATTTACTTTAGCTTATTAAAATGTTAATTTTTTTTTTCTTTGAGCTAAAATATATTTATATTCTATTCTGTATAACATTCAGTTTAGCTTCTTCCTATTACTTTTAAGATGTGCTAATTTATGTTCGTGAATAATTTTGCTAATAATAAATAGAATATTTAAGAATTGAAGTAAGTTAATAATTGATATTGTTGCGTCAGCGAGTCACATGACCACCGTTTCTAGAATTATAATGTACTTTGGCGAATGCTCTAGTATTTACTAGTAGGGTAGGCTGGTATA